TCTAGTCTTGATTTACTTACAATTTGGTATATAGATAGCTTATTGCTTATATATGATAACCCGAAATTAACTCTAGTTTAGTGACGCCAAACACACTGGTCGTGCAGAAACAAGTCGTGCAAAAGACAATAACGAAGCAGCTCGTAGGGGTACCAGAACCTCAATTCGGCATCGTGAATAACAATAGCAAATTTCCAGAAACTCTCTGCAGCATATACTCACAAAATAACTGTTTCTCTAAGCTTACAAAATTCATTTCACACAACAACTGAAGTCTAATGACCTTGCGCTGCGAAGAGCGTTTGTTGAAAGGATTATTATGCAACAACAAATGGCTGTTGATTTTTCGCGCAAAATCATACTAAACGATGAGGCACATTTTCATCTTAAAGGATTTTTGTACTGAGCACTCATATGTGACTGTCGGAAAAATAGTGAGACGTAGGGACTGTTTGAAGTAAATTTTGGATTGGAGGGAAATGTAATTGGAGCCCGCCTTTTTGAAATTGAGGCTGGTCAAGCAGTGTCTATTACTGGTACTATCGCGACCTGATAACATAGCTCGTTTTGCCGAAATTGAGTGATATTAATGTGACCACTATGTGGCTTCAATAAGACACTGCCACATGTCATACGCCCCGTGAAACATTCCAATTACTGCTAGAGGCATTTCCGGGTCGTGTACTCTTTTCTTTTGAAGATCAGCATTGATTTCAGATTCCTTTTATTTAAAATCACAGATCTATTGCGACATGCCCAGAACCACGCATGCTTTATAAGAAGGTATTGAACGTTGTAGCAATAAGATTCGGTCACATTTATGCAGAATAATTTTGGAAAATTTCAAAAAACGATTGCATCTGGGCATGGAAATCTGTGGAGATCATTTGCCAGCTGTCTTATTCCATCAAAAATACCATCATAAGTGCTTCATGACTCAAAAAAAAAAAATCACTATCGACCGTCTAAAAACAGTTGTTTCTATTTAATTCAAATCAAGCCTCAATTTTGGGTCACCCTTTATTTACATGCGGTAGACTTTGCTCCTTACAGAAACAAATCGCAAAAATTTGATTAAATTTGGCGAAGCTTTCTTTCACATATCGAGCTTTGATTTTTGTGCCCACTTGATGCTGGAATTTGTATATTATGTATGTAAGTGCTCGATACGTTTATTTTGATTCAGAATTCTATTTAACCCTTCAATTTTAAGTACTTTAGTAACAGAGAAAATGACTTGGTACCTAAGGTTAAAGTGGCTGTACTTTTCTATTACAATGGCAACCCTGGAAATGACGGTAATTATTTGAAACTGATTAGCCATGGTTCAATAAAAAATTTAATTAGCAATAAAATATACAACTTTTTAATATTTTTGTTTAGTGTTTAGTGGGTAGTCAGTAGCCTAACGCAGACTTTTCTGAGAAATCATTGAATTCCTTAATTTATTTAAATATTTATTTACTATAATTAATTATAAAATACAAAATCATACAATTAAATGAAAGCAGATCACTAGCTGCCAAGGCCTTTTTTGATTTATTTAATACATATATAAAATAAAATTTTGACAAAAGAAATTTTTAGACAAAATCTTTATACAACAAAATTTGAGCACTCTATGAAGTTAACTTATATTTGGCCTACTTAGATCAGGCAAGTTTTGGTTTCTATTTTTTACAGACTTTAAAATTTTTATAAAATTTGCCGTAGCAGACTTTTCCTTGAACCTTTCAACATTCTAACAAACTTCTAAACGCGAGTTTTGAGAGAATTTCCAAAGCAAAGGCCGAAGCGACTCTTTTGGCTTGGAGTTAATGGAGGAAAGTGTTTTACGAAATTATTTCTCGTGAAATTTTATGGCTAAGCTCTGGACTTTTTTTTATATATAAGGTTTGTTTATTGAGCTGCTTTAAGTTACACCAGATTACTCTATTTCAAAAAATTGTGTTTCATGAAAACTTTTTTGTTCTACTTTTTGTTTCATGAGTCTGCTCTAAGCAGAAATAGAGCAACTCAGATCACAATTTTCGGCTCTGACTTTTTTGGTAGAGTAACTTGGTGCAAATAAGTTAAGATTTTCATTAACAGGCGAGCTAAGAAAACGAAAGCGGGCAAAATATAAGTATAAGGGAAGCTCACGGGGCAGGGGGGCAAACGACTTAAATACAAGTGACTATAAAAATTAAAAATTTTACTAAGAAATACATGAAAAAATCGTAAAATTTTTCAATTTTGATTGCAACAGAAAAGTCAAACATTCGGATTTGAAAATTGTTGTCCGAAAAATATTTCATGAGCTTTTTGCTCCGATTTGCTGTAACTCGCTGTATTGTTTCTTTTTTTTTTTGCTCAATTCTGCTCGCACATAAGCTGCTCTACGCAATTTTCAGTCTGCATAAACAAACCTATAAATTTTATATTTTTTCAATTTTTTCCTATTTTTTGAAATAACTGTACGGGTGTTTCAAGAAAGCTTTAGGTGAGCACTACCTTTCAGAGAGCCTTAAGAAAATCTGTTGTGATTTTTGTATTTGTTTTGTTTTGTTATCATTTCATTTAAAAGTAAATAAATATAATTACAACGTAGTTATCGCAAAATAAAATTAAAAAATAAAAATAAAATATTCTTTTACTCAAGTGTTTTGTCTTTCTTTAATTTTGCCAGAGAACAAAACACGCAATAAATAATTGCAAAATAAATACAGACGTACATATGTATATAACTAATATTAGTATATTTTGTACATATAAACAAACACATGCATACATACTGCCATACATATAATACATGAGCCCTCGGTTTGCTAGTAGCTACACTACACCCGCTACAGTGGCCACAGAGCGAGATTTCTTTCAGCTATTAAAGCGCATTAACATTACTTTTGCTCTTATAATTTTTAAATAAAATTATTTATTTACAGTTTTTATTTTTACTCATTTGTGCTCAGCGAAAATTAGTTGTATACCTACATACACATACATGCTTATTTGTATGTTTTTTTTGCTTTGACATTAACGTGGCGCATGAGCTTTGCGAAATTCTAGTTTTATTATCATTAGTGTATATGTATGTATGAGCATATTCAAATTAGATACAAATAAACATATCATGTATGTTTGTATATAAACGTACTATGACTTAAAGCACATAAACGACATAAAATAATTAGGTCAAGTAATATTCATCCATTATTTTACCATAGATGCCTTTAGTGTTCTGCATCTCGCTTTCTATAACTGCGTTTGGACTACGCCAGATGGCGTTAGAAAAGCGATATTTTGCGCTAAAATTAAATAACGTGAAAAGTGTTGATCCCTTAACTTAGCAGTCTTTGAGCGCTTTGTCAAAGATGGACACCAGCAATGAGAAAATACCAGATATTCTACAATTTTTTTGCGGTAAAGGCGAAAACGCAAGACTGGTAGCTGAAGATGTGAAGAGTGTTTAGGTCCTTGAACTATAACAGTGAGTCATCCACAACTTTGATTCCGGTCATTTTGTTGTAAAAGCTGCTCCGATTGCCAATTGTCGTAAAAGTCGATTAAATTATGCAAATTGTCTAGTCTGACCGTCATGTGAGCACTATTTCGATCACCCGGTAGTTAAGCATTGCACAAAGAAGCTCAATGTATGTATGAGAGCCACTTGAGTTAACGAGGAAAATCCTTATGAACCAAGTCACCCTAATGCGAATCGCTGCTGAAACGTAACGAAATTGATCCATACCTGAAGCGGATGATACCGGTGATGAAAAATGCTTCTCTTACTGCAACGTCAAATAAAAATGGTGGTGGTCGAAGGGCAGTGAGCCTGTTCTTCAAGTCAATATTGATGGACCGGAATTTTTTTTTGTGTATTTATTGAGATTTGGCAAGAAATCATACACTATGAGCTGCTCCCCAACGGCCAAACTCTTAATATGGAGTTTGTGCTGTCAGCAATTGGCTAGTCTGAAGGAAGCAACTATCCAGAAGCGCCGAACTTTGACCAACATGAAGAAGGAATTTGGTTTTAACAGATCAAAGGAGGACTACACACATCTATAGTGACCCGGAAGAAGGTTCAGGAGCTTAATTGGGAGATTCTTATGTATACCCCTTCGGATCGGATCTCGCACTAAATGATCACCAACTGCTCCTGTTTAAGGCGAACAATTTGGACGGTAAAGGACTTGCTTCAAAAGAAGCCTGTGAAATTTGATTATCCCAATTATATGCCAATAGTGACAAGGGTTTCAATGAGAGAGATTTAAGGATATGATCATCACCATGGCAAAAAGTTATCGAGCAAAATGGTGCATATTTGACCTAAAACGTTAAATTCTAACTTTGATTAATAAATCCTTGAATTTAATGGAAAATTAATGGATAATTTGTTGTAATAACATAAAAAAATTGGCGCTTTGTAATAGTGGAAGCGATCTTTTGGTCAAGCTCCTCCTCCAAATTGTGGTTTTTGCGTCTGGATGTTTTTCCCACAAAATGGAGGAACCTACTATGCATACTAAGTCGTCTCCGAACGGCTGCTGGTTTTTTTTAAGAGGAGCCTTTTATTGCACGTCGGAAATTTACTCGACGAGGTTGGCATTCCCAGACGTGGGACGACCGCAATTAGACAATTTAACTTAATTTTTTATAAAATTTATTTTTAATAATTTTTGCATGTTTGGTCGCAACGGGATTTCAACACGGGGCTTCCGAATTGGCAGTGCGCACTGCTAATCCGTTTTCATTTTTAACTTGTTGAATAAATATTTAATCAGCTTTGTCTTTAATTCTATGCTTAACAAAATGTAGAATTAAGCAACTGACGATTTTCGAGTCAAATAAAAATAAAAATTAACTAATTTTAGACATAAAAAATAATTTAAAGATTTCTTTTCTTATTAATAATTTGGGACATTTTGCTTTTAGCTTTTATTCAGTAATTCTATTTTTAATTATTATTAATTATTTTTATTTAATTATTATTTTAAATTTTTTTTAATGTCACTTACCAGTATAACTGTTTTCAAGTTGTGTACTGTTTAAAATCTTTGCTTTAGCGCCAACTTTTTATTTTTATTTACTTATATTTTTTTTTTTTTTGTTAACCTCAAGGTTTTCACAAATAAAATATTATCAAAAAATATTTAATCTTATTTTTATAAATTTTTTTATTATCTATGCACATATGTATGTATGTATATATATTTTTTTCATTTATCGCTTTACTATTGTATATGTATGTAATCTGATTTAATAAACATATATGTATGTATATGCATATGTGAACTTCATTTATGAATCTCTTTACTTTAACACAATTTGTTTTTCACTTTTTTTTATTTTATTTTGTAATTATCATTAAATTAGCAAAAATAGCTTATATGAGATTAAATAGCTGATTTATTTGTTTGTCAACACCATACGTAGAACACACACCTCAAAATATACACAATTTCTCTCATAAAGTTACTCCAATTTGCTTTGAAATAATTCAGCAGAAAATAAGATTTTCTTATTTATTATTTTCAGCTACAAGACTAAACACCGTTACTAGCTTATTTTGCGGAATCTGTAGACTGCTTATTATTATTTATAGAATGTAAATCTCTTTTAAGGCACTCAAAATAATTTTTTACGAATTTCTTGCTTTTTTATTGTTCTCATTTACTTTCGCATTCATTTAACTTTTTCGTTTGACTTTTTTGCTATGCTACCACAATCGAAAATGTTTTAATTCACTTCACTTTGCTACGAAACACACTCGTACACTCGTTGAAAATTGAACACTCGCTGTGTGATGATGTCACGTCTTCGACCGGCTTCAAGCGTTTGACTGAAAACTATCTGCGACCGCTGGAGTTAACCAAAATGCAATTCGCTCCGACCGTACAGCATAAGAAATGTATGTATGTAAAAATCAAAAAAAAAAAAAAAATAAATTAAATAAAAAGTTGCCCCAACAACTAAACTCACTCAATCGTTCTCCATGCAATTCATCAGCTGGTTGTCTGTCTACTCGAAATTTGTGCTCACAGCTGTTTTTGTACGCTCTAGCAGACACTCAATGCAAACTATTGCCGCCTCTCAAAAGTATCTAAGAAGACATATTTTTGTATCTATGTGTACACACTTTGCTCCAAGCGTGTGAGTGTAGTAGTGTTTAAAATTACTCAGAGATAACAACGCGCTTGTTTGAGTATTCTCCATCGTATTTTCACTCATTGCCAACGTGCAACAGGTGTTGGTGAGTGCGCGCTCTTTGAGTGCTTGAGTTCATAGCGTTGAGTGGAAATTAAAGGGCAAACAATGTTTTCAAATCAATTGCAAATGTAAACAAATGAATTTTTTTGTCATGACTTTTTTTCGACTAATAAATCGCTGGGGGTCGAAACGGCAGTGCATAAATTCTTCACTTGCTGGGAGACATTAAATGTTTAAAATAAAAAAATAAATAATTCTTCTGAATAATCACACCGGGGGAGGCAGTAACACGTCCATGAATGCTCAATCTCAAGCTTCTGCACAAAATCCAGTTATTCTATACCCAGCCTTCTAAGCACATCTTCGGAAAAGGTCGCCTTTTTTGTTGAATTGACAGAGCTTAGTTTCTTTTAGTTTTCTTCGCAAGTCTTGAATATTGTTGACACCAGTTGTACATACAATCGCCCCACATAGGTAAAGCAATAGCCGAGTGGTTAGCCGTGCGCACTAACTTCGGGAGAGTCATGAAATGAATTCGAGTGTTGGAAACAGCAAGACGCACACCATGAACTATACATACGGGGTATAACAATTAAGTAATGAGACTGATTCCATGAAAACCATATATTTCAAAATTATTCTACAACTCTGGCAGCCCCTTCAAAGTAGTCCCCTTGGGCAGCTATACAACGATTCAAGCACGTTTTCCATGCTTCGTCACATTTCTGAAACGCTTCGACTGGGATGTCCGCAAGTACCCTCGTCACGGCCGCCTGAATGTCCTCAATCGACTCAAAATGGGTTTCTTTGACCACCGATTTTGTTCTGAGAAACAAAAAAAGTCACAAATACGGCGACACTGAAGGCGGTATACCACGGCGCGTTGTTGTGATGACGGATCCAGTTCCGAGCGATGTCTGGGCGCACCCTGTTGAGGCGTTTTCGCAATATTTCGAGTACTTGGCGACGGTAGACTTGATTTACGGTTTGCCCCGGTGGGAGAAATTTTTTGTGGACGATTCCACGGCTATCAAGAGAAGGCAGTAATCATCGTTTTCACATTCGACTTGCTTATGCGAGCTTTTTTCGAGCCGGAGGGGCGTGCGGAGACAACCATTGTGAGCTTTGGCGTTTGGTTTCTGGGTCTTTTACAATTTTAGCGTATGTTTCGAAGCTGTTTCGCCCAAACGCTGTTTCGCGTTGCTCTTGATTTCGTTTTTCCATTTACGTATCGAGCACCACGAACACATTTTTACTCAACACGACACATCAGGCGAACTAAACAAGCTAGATTGATGGTAATGACATCAATGGAGTGAAGAATGATGTCGGGGGAAGGGAAAGGGAATTTCAAGGAAGCAGGATTACCACAATTGCGGCAATGTAATCAGTCTCATTAAAACCGCTGAACCGATTTTCTGCCGAGCTTCCCCACCAATTTGGGGTTTTGCGTCTTGATGTTTTTCCAACAAATGGAGAGACCTACAGTTTATACTATGCCGCCTCCGAGCGGTTGATCGTTTTTTTCTTATGAGGAGCTTTATTTCATGTCAGAAATACACTCGGGGGTGTTGATATTCCCTGTCGAGAGGTGACCGCAATCAGAAAATTTAACTTAATTTTTTATTTAAATTAATTTTCAACAAGTTTTTGGATGTTGGCCATAACAAGACTTGAACCCGAGCCTTCCGAATGGCAGTACGCAATGTTAGCCACTCGGCTACCGCGGCCGCCTATTTGCCATTTAAACAGCTGCTTTGTGTAATACCTGCGCTCTTTCTCTTCGGGCGCAACTCAGCATACCAAAATACGATCGTTGCCGAGCTGATTTATTTAATTCGCTCTTTAATTGCAAACTATTAGAGTTAGTCCAAGTAATTTGACTACAACCCAACCCTGGCCTTACTCCTTTAATTAGCGAGAAAAACTGCAGGAACGCACTTTCAGCAGCAGTTGAGGTGTCAATAACAGCGGTCAATGACTTTTTTATTAATATTTAAATACATACATACACACATATATTCATATGTAGACATTTTATACATAAAAGCATGAATCTTTCTTTGTAAGTAAATACTTTAATTTCTGTCTATTAACAATTATTTAAAGACGGCGCGGCGCGTTGGCATCTCTCTGCCTGCCCTACTGCTTTTGTTGGTTTCTATTACCGTGCGTTGTCTCATGAGGGCTCAGCTTCTGGCTAGGAAGGTGCTGCAGGTAATGTCACCTGCAGTGAAATTTATGTATTTTCGCTTACGCCGACAACAACAATAGCTGGCGCGACAACTCTGCTTGGGTCATGAAGTAAATGCTGCCGATTCAGCCTGGAAATGTGTAGTCGACGCAGGGTATTAACGCTATTATTGGTGGCAATGTCACAGACGGGTGACTGGTGTTGGTGTTTGGTGACGCGGCGGCTTGACGCTGCTATTTAAATACACATAAAATTTTATTATCATTTTGATTGTTTAAATTCATACATATTTGTACATACATATATATTGTACATATGTATATTTATATACAAACACATATAAACATACGGTAGTACTCCTTAGGCTTGTTTATGAGATCATCGTTAAAATAAACATACAAATAAAGTAATATAAAGGCAAGCTACAGTTACTTATATGAACTTATATTGTACGTGTGTGTATGTGTGTCGCTTTGTGGTATGAGTGAAGCACTCCTGCCGCGTCACCATATTAAAAACAAAACAACAGAAGATACGAAACAAAGCGTGAGGTGAACGTGTGCGCCGACGCATTGCTCATTTGTCTGCAGCTTGTTGGTGTGTACACTTGTAGGTATGTATGTATGTATGTATGTATGTATGTATGTATGTATGTATGCCTGTTTGTTTTTAGCCAAATTAACTTCATGCCGTCAGTTGTTTTTATCATACCTGAGTTCGCATTGAATCATGCATTCTTACTTGAAATATATGTATGTATGCATATATACATTCATACATACATACATACATACACTCATTATTATTTAAGAATTTTATTTCACATTTTAGAATTTTTAATTTTGCAGTGTCGTATCTCAGGACTATAAATTGATGGATTGAAAGAGCAAAAACCAAGTCCATAAATCATCCAGGAGTGTAGCCCCATACAACTCACAGCTATTGACTTTACGAAGAGATTAACAAAATTTCGGTCAGTTGGTGACCTTCAATTTGTTTTTGTTAAATCTAAAAATCCTTTGGAATTATCTTATCAGCCTTCCTTTCAAATTTTACAACGAGCGGCTAAAGTGGAGATGAGAAAACGCAAGATAGCTGAGGAAAGGTCAGACGAAATTCCACCATCAACGCAAACAGTAATTCGCCATGTGATTCTCTTCGGTTTTCAACGTAATTTACAGCCAATAAAAATATTCAATGAAGGCCAAATTGCATATGGAACGATGGCACTGGCTTTAAAGACTACTTCTAAGTGGTTTCGAAGACTCCAGACCGCACATTTTTCCGCAGAGGTCGAGCACCGAGAAGGTCGACCCAAAATTTTCTACTGAGCTCTGGTGAAATCCAAAATTGACGAAGACCCACGATTGACACAAGAAATGATTGATAATGATTTGGCCTTGAATGACGTGGCTGTGTCGCGAATATTAAGTCATTATCGTAAGAGGCTCGAGCGCATTTTGCTCAATTTTTCCTAAACGAATTCGCAAATGGTCAGTCTAGCAAAACTTAGTAAAGACATTACTGGTGACGAATCTTGGTTATAAAAGTACGATCCTGAAAGCAAACAGCAGCCCACGGTATGGAGCCCAACAGCAGCAATCCCACCCCTTAAAATCGAAGCAATAAAAATCAGCAGCAATAATTTATTAGAAAACAGGAAGAAATACGATTAGCGGCGCTACTTTCGACAACAGGACAACGCGCCATCTCAAACTGCTGTAATAACGTGTAAT